TATATATATATATATATATATATATATATATATTTATTAAGCAGCAAATCCGCATATTAGAATGATTAGAATTATTTTTAAATGTATAAAAATACAAAACAGTTATTTGTATATATATAGACAGTTATAGACTTTATAGTTATTTTAACAGATATATTTCACAATGCCACAATTTTACTGTATTTTTAATCAAAAATTATTTTGTTAAACAAAAGAAATGTCTTAAAAAAAACAGCATTCTCGTACATTTGAATGGTAGTGTCTATATATAAAATGATTTATTACAAGTATTTTAGCAGTTATTAACTGCAAAAACTAAATTATCTTTTCAATTCAGTATAAATTAGTATTACTCAAACCTTCTTGTCTGTTAAAGCTCTTATTTTGATCAAAAGATTTGTTTTTTTTTTCAGAATAAAAAGAAATACCTTATAAATGACCCATTAAAAGGGTGAATAATTGGTGATTTTTTAGATTAACTAAAACATTTAAAACATGTAGCTTAATGCAGCTTGAACTGAAGTGTGTTTACATGTAAAATCAAATTTAGACACTGTCTGATCTGTGTTCTGTTCTCTTTCCAGCAATTTGGTAAAATCTTAGATGTTGAAATCATATTTAATGAACGAGGATCAAAGGTACGTTTGTGACTCACTTCCTTTGCATGCTCTCATTCTTGACCAATCAGAACAGTCCAGTGAGTTTAGAGGCATAATGTTTATTTAAAAAGGCAAAATATCCAGTGATTAATTAGTACCTGTATTGTACAGAATAAACGCTTGTTGTAGTCATGTTAACGTATGTAATGCAATCTCATATCAGCTGCTGTGCCAGAGTTATTAGTGCCCTGTTCAATGGAGTGTGTGGAAATGTGTTTGGCACTTGTCTTTGTTCTGTTACGGTGTCAAATGAAGAACATTCTCCACTGAGCTCCGTAATTGACAGCTTTATTCAGTGTTATGACACTTAGCATCATTCCTGTGCACAAACAATTTGCTTTATTGAAATATGAATTATGTTCTTCTGTTCCAGCTGGGGGAGATAATGATGCATGTTAACAAGTTCTGTAGTTCACAATCCTTTATCATTTGTCTTACAAGTTGTTTTTTTGCTTTTGTAATGACTTTTCTTTATGTTGCGTTATACAGTGTTAAATGACAGCATTTATTTTATTCCACTTTTTTCCAATAGATTTTGTTTATATTAAGACTTACTAAATGTATATCCCTTTGTTTGGTTTCTCTCTCTTTTTTTTATTTCATTAAGTGACTTTACTTTCTTAGACGTGCTATTTCATTTCATTTCTCCTCAGTGGTTCTAACAGAACCCGTAAATTATGGTTAATCTCGATGCTTTGCATGGTGCAGGAGAAAAGAGGAGGAGAAAGAGAGAGGGGTAAATGCAGCAGCAGCTGTTTTTGTGTGTGAGAATGGCAGAGGTAGAGCCACAGTGGATTTCTTGGGTGTATGACTGAATTAATAATGTGCATGTTGTTCTCCCCCCTCCCCTCTCCCACCTGCATGCAGGGTTTTGGTTTCGTAACTTTCGAAAATAGTGCCGATGCGGACAGGGCCAGAGAGAAATTACACGGCACGGTGGTAGAAGGTCGTAAAATAGAGGTGCATGTAACAAATATTTCCCTTCTCAATTGCTTTTTGTTTAGTTTTGTTTAGTTTTATTCATTTGTCGTTCTTGTTGTTATTCTTGTTTTGTGTGTCAGTGTGTGCCTCACTCTCATCTCACTATTTTAGATGCATCACTCGTCTTTTCCTGTGTGTGCTCCTCTCTCTGTCCCTCTTTCCCTCCCTCCGTCCCTCCCTCCCCACTAGGGTTGCCACCTTCAGCGAGGCAAAATAAGGGACACCCATT